ATTGGGCGTGCTCCTCCCCTATCCGGACCTCTTTTCAGAGGCGACAGTAAGGCCGGAGGCCTCCTTAGAGGGGTCTCCATGGAGGGTAATCGGCTTGTTTAGTACAAGCAAGTGAGAGCAAGTGATTTAGAACAAAAAATTTGATCTCGAAAAAAGGTTGTTGTGAGTATATACATATGGTACCGACATTTATAGTTTATAAGATTCTATTATAAATTAGACAAGTCGAGAAACCTCTTGATTCGAACTATTCTATATAAAATATATTATTATAGAGATAATATATATCTATTAAGAATAGTATTACTAAATATTAAAAATTATATTAAATTAAATTACTATTTTCCTAGATAATATATTCCTAATAATATTCAACTAGAGATATTAAAGAAAATTACTAAATTAAAGGTATTTAGTAAAGGGCGAAAATAATATACTTCTAGATATTAGATATTAAATAATATTTTACTAGAAATACTAAAGAAATTCGTTAAATAACCACACAAATAACAGGACTAGAGCCATTTCTATAGCAAAGCCCCTTTCATCACCGCCATTTCCTCGAGTCTAATACCCCTAAACTCACAGCCCCGAGCCACCAACTACCAAATCTATCCCCAGAACTGTTTCCTGCCCTTCCACCCAAATTCTCCGAGAAGAGCATCTTCGCTTATCTTTTCTCTATGCCGGATTTTGGCATCGAAAACCATCTCGTCTCCCACCCGCTTCGAAACCATACTATAATGACCAATATACAGGAACTTAAGCTGCGGCATGACTTCTCCGTACAGGTTGGCCTGCTCTTCCATTCGTTCATAATGTTGCCGCTCCCACAGAATATCGCAATATGAAAGCTCTTCAATTTGAAGGCTTGTAATGTGGTCAATACCAGGCCATCGAGAGTCGTAGTAATCGAAAGTGGACTCATCAATTGGGTCGAAATCGGTGTGAATTGGTCGATAAGTGTCATCGATATAGTAGAGTTTGCGAAGTTGCCGTAGCTTGCAGAAATGGGTTCTCATGGCGTCGTGGTCGATAAGCCACCGGGGAGTATATTGCAGTAATTCATGCGTAGACTTTCCATACATGCATAATTTCTCTAGGCTAGTAGTGTTGGATATAGCTTGAAGAGCGGATAATGGAACACGACTTTCTGGAATCCCAAATCTTAGTGTCTTTAGTCTCGCGAACGAATCTCCTAGTACTGGTAGAATCTGGCCCCAGTCGGTATCCGGGGCATTCTTTGGTAGAGAGAGGTGGGTGATATGGCTGTTCTCCCTCAAGAAAGGCAATAATACCTCGGTTGGTGCGTAGCTATCGCAGTAAACAAATGTTCTCAATGTGGATATACAGCCGCGCTTCGCTAAAATCTCTCCTATGGCCCCATTTGCTCCTCGTAGAGACAATACCACCAACGGGGCGCGCAAAAGAGCATCGAGGTGTAAGTGATTGCCACCGTGTTCCAAGAATTCGAGTTCCCGCAACCTTGGGAAAGTCAGCTCGCTAGGGTTGGCTGGTTCAGGATAGGCCGTCCAAAACAATGTCTCTAGTGTTGCCGCACATGCCGGGAGTATACTTTCGGAGGATACATTTTCAGGGCGTGCGCGAGAATGATATGGGTAGAGGCATAAGCTTCTGAGCGGCCATATCACGCCCTTCGTCATTGGAATTGTTGCTAGGCTGATCTTTAGATGTCTCGTATTCGACCCCAAGATAAGTGGGCTAAGTCTATCATGAAAGAGACCACCAATGGCACTAGTAGTGTCCGCCACCCAATGTATAACATCCAGATGAGGAAGCGCATAACCTCCAGTGAGATGGGCTCAAGGAGCTCATTGTATTTATCCAACATCTGATGTCCCATAGTGCGGAACGCTGCTTAGTGCTGTCGAAAAGCAGAAGAAACAGCCTGGTTCATTCTAATGTGCTGACTCTGATGTGTCATTCTGCCATTGATATTGAACACCATCGTCCTAACGCATGCTCCCAACGTATATCCATGTCTGTCATTCTTTCTATCAACGTGTTCTTGGCGTAAAATTTCGAGTAGGGCCCAAGTAGCTTTACCGTCGCTCAGTATGATCGTCTGAAATTGGCGGGCTCTCGGAAGCTGTCTGCAGTCGCTATTAACAAGTGCGAGGGATTTGAGGTCTGAGTACTCGATTTTCTCGACAATCTGCGACAAAACTTTGGGTGGGACTCTGAGAATAACGGCTGTAGACTCAATAGTCTTCCAATCCATCGCGTAATCCAACCGAAAGGGTACAGGATGGAATACTGGGATTTTGGAAGGGCGTAGCAGAGAGGGCGAAGCAATCGTGGATTGAAGATGTCTATGATGCACTCCAAGCTATAGGTATACTCCTAGTTGTAAGTGTAAGAGTCTTTCAGGGATAATCTTCGTCGCTTGTGCTTGAGGTTTTCTTCGGTGGTTGGTTTGTGCCGTGAAACGTTGATGTACATGAACTCTTTGTCGGTCAATAGCTACTCTATGCTACCAAAAGGAAGCTACTTGAAAACACGGAGGTCGGCATAAAGATGTAAACAAAGTGGCATTGACTCAGTATTCGTTGCCTAGAGGCGGCTTAGGAGGAAGAATAGAAATGTTAACTGACAGTCACTCGACCAAAACAAACCCCTACAATCCTAAGCAAGACAAGTCTTTGGTAAACGAAAAAAGAGATAGCGATGACAGATCTTTCACCTACGTTGTGTGGCAAGTGGAAGTCACTAAATAACATTCGCTATTATATATTGAGATAGCCAAAACTACAAATATGACCTGATTAGAAATTATTCGTTTGGAAAACCAGGGCAGGTTGATTCCACAACAATCCACTGTGAGTCCTAGTTGTCACGTGACCAAACACTCACAGGAGTTTTATAATATACTGTATTTGATAAGCTATACAAACACATATTACCAGTTTTTGCTTCCTTTCGTGCACACTAGATAGCAAACCGCAAACTAAGCTACAATATTGTATAACTAACATACGGTACCTTTCCAGGCCTTATATTTCTGCACCCTATCCTGAAATCATAAGTCCAGAGAGCTTGATCAAGTAAAATCCAAGGCATAGTTTGAGTATAACCCACTTTTAGCACCAATGGTACATTCCCAGAAAAACTTCTAATGACATAGCGTTCTGGAGAATTAGTCACCAGCCTATATACTCCACTAAAGCGTAACTTATTGTAAGATCCCTGCACATTTTCTCTCATCTTGCCCAGGCAAGAAGGATGGTCCGCCAAGTTTGTGGAATCAAGAATTGTAAAGAGGTATCAAGAGCTAGCTAGGAGACCTATATATCAGGTAGACAGTTGGTAGTCCAAAGCCACGTGCTACATATATCTCGGAAATTCACTATGTACCACCTCCAATACCACTAGTCACCAAATTTACCAATGACCAGGTTTACTAAACTCCATAAGGGACCCTCACCCTTCATCCCTTACGTTCGGGGACCAACCTTTTCGCTCCTTACCTCTAAGGGGAATATCGAAGTGTTTTAAACTGTCGTTCTATTTTATAATGTAGTAAAGGCGAAAATAATCAGGTGGCTTAGGGGGTGAGATAATGTGTTCTCGCTTAAACCCCCGATGTTGTGGGATAGGGGAAAAGGTAAGACAGTGTAACCTTTTCATGATTGGGTATATGAGTAATTAGATAGGTAAGTAAGCTGGTAGGTAGCCGAGTGAGCAAGGGCCAACGAGAAGGTATAATGGGTTATAATAGAATAGTAATACTATGTTATAGTATTGAAACGAGACCGCTATGAACAGTCTTTTAGATTGTAGAATCTATAAATTGAGATGGGCTGAGATACTTTGAATTCAAGTCCGATGCTATACTAGTTTTGAATGTACGATATTGAGTATAAGGAAGAAAGAGAACAGCCGCCTGATGAGTTTATTCAGTCGGACCTACCACTATCGAGTCTACATTAATGTTCTCACGATCTACAATAGATTGGAAATCAGTAGCCATTAAGTTAATGTAAATCGCCATGGACATTTTAGAAAGTCATAAGAACGACCCTAAATCAGAACCTTTATAAGTTACTCTCTCGAAAAATGCTCTTCCAGAGCACTTCTTTTTTTCGAAGCACGAAAAGTCAGCGTGTTACCGTGGAACAGAGTTCCATCCAATGCCCGACTAGCAGCATCCGTCTGACTCGCCTTGTCAAACTCCACAAAACAGTAGCATCCACTCTTCAGTCCCGTCCTTTCATTTTTGTAACGAGAAAAGATCTTACTCACGAACTCAAGTTCGCCAAAAGGATGAAGTAGATTTCTGAGCTCGCCCTCTAAGGTCACTTCTCCATCATACCCCAACGCATTCGGGAGGTTGTTAATGTAAACCCGTTGTCTCTCACGGAGTTCGCTGGATACACGATTCGAACGTGCAACTCGGAGGTTCCAGTTCCATTTTTCTATTCCGTCAAGTTCTGCGACTGCTTTGTCGACTTCCTCAGCAGAACCAAGGTCTACGTAACAGTGGTAGCTATTGCCTGGATCAGTCTTGATTGACTCATGTGGAGAGATGAGCTTGCTGATAGCCCCGATGTTGTAGCCTTCGAAGAGCTCCTTCATTTTGAGGCTGGTCGTGACTTGGTCGGGAAACCTGGGGAGTCCGCCAACGAATACACGACGGTCTTCTCCCACGGTGGAAACATTGGGCTCTTTCGGGTTGTATTCGGCATCCAATCGACGCGAACTATCAAATGCGTATGGGGTTTTGTCGTTCTCCGCACTTGGTGCTTCCATTTCTGGGTCATTTCTGGACTGGAGGGTGTCCTTTTTGAGGTGGTAACGGCCCTTGCCTTCACCCGCGTTGACTGCTGGCTTCACTTTGAGAGGTCTGCCCATGAACCTAAGACCGTTGTAGTGTTGAATGGTTTTTTCAGCCTCTGCTTTTGAAGTAAAATCAACGAAGCAGTAAGAAGGATTTCGGCCTGTCATAGGATCCACCGACATGCTGATATCTTGAATGGAATGTGTTATGTCGGCGAGAAGACCGCGTAAATCATCTATCTGGGCGTCGTAAGGTAGATTTCCAACGTATATTCTGCGTCCCTCGTCTATGGCTTGTTCTGCTTTGGGATCCCGTGCAATATGTTTGGTTGGTCGCGGAAAGGGAGCTCTATCGCGGCCTCTTGTGGGATTGCTTCCTCCTCGGTACTTGTATTGTGGTTGTCCATCTGTGTTTGATGGCACGCCTCCCCACCCGGAAAAGGATTCCCAGGACCTTTTCTCTCTTGTCCTCTCTGAAGGACGTGACGGCACATCTTTTCTGGAAGGTTTGTCCTCTTCTCTGGAAGGCTCACGCGGAACGCGCCAGTTGTTGGAGTCCATGGTCTAGACAAAATGTTACTGTGGAACTCTTTGTCCCAGTGCCAGTGCTAGTGCGGGCGCATTGTGGATAGTCATGTGACGTCGTGACGATTAGAAACTTCTATTGAGGTGTCGAGTTCCAATCGCCCACCTGCAAAACTACATGAAAGTAAAAGACTGACTCGAAGACCAACTCGACTCACCGTCATCTATATATATACTAAGTTTAGCCAGCGTCTTTTGCAAAAGGAAGATAAGTAAAAGTGCCCATAGGTGCAACTGTGGAAGAGCATCCATTGCAGTCTGCTACCAAAATAGGAAAGTCTGCCTCTATTGCAGTGATGCTGTGAGTCAGGATCAATAACGATGAGGAGGCTCGAGCTCAGGGCTGGAGGTCACAAATGAGCCGCTGCTGAGCCCGGAGAGCGGAGCCGGGACTATATCGGGCACGTGATCGGGGAATGAAGAAGGTCAGGGCGCCCGCAGCTCCCACCTCCGGTCGGGAATCGGGATTCTATCCGAAGCGACCGCCGAGACCACTTGGCCAACATTTTTCTCCGGAATGGTCCCGGCCCCTGCCATCTCCTCAGTCACGTTGATTCGTGCTCACTCCGCGTTTGCCGGCACGATTCCGCGTGTAGGGCACGGCACGTACGGGTGGGTACTCGTACGGGCTGAAGCATTGGACTATGACCATAATTCTTTGGGCAAGACGTCAACACCTGAACTTTCCATGGCAACGCTTGCGCCAGGTAAGACGAATCACACGGTGGCATAGGAACACAAGAGCGCATAACTAATTGCTGCACCATACTGACTTAGCTTAGCTTACCCCCACCTGCATACTTCTTTCAACACCTACCCCCTCCTGCACNGTGGCATAGGAACACAAGAGCGCATAACTAATTGCTGCACCATACTGACTTAGCTTAGCTTACCCCCACCTGCATACTTCTTTCAACACCTACCCCCTCCTGCACCCCCCTCCCCATCCCCTCCCCAAACATTAGAGCTCTTCGATACACTTTGCCCTCCCTACACACCAATTACCTACGCAACCGAGCTTCCGACACGATGCCTTCTAAGCCAGACGATGAGGATGACTTTGGTCTGAGTTCTGGAGACGAGGCCGATTTGCTCGCCATGACCGATTTCGTCGAAGGCACGAAGCGCAAGGCCGATGACGATGGTATCCCACCTGCGAAGAGAGTAGCTCTGACACTGGATACCGATTCGTTTGCTTTAGCAACAACTACGCTCACACAAAACTTTGGTCTCAAGGCATTTCGGTTGAAGCAGGAGCAAGTCATCTCAAGAATCCTGGCGGGCGGCTCTGCCACTGTCATTTTCCCAACCGGAGGAGGCAAGAGTTTGTGCTACCAAGTGCCCGGTCTGGTGTTCTCAGAGTTGGATCGGAAACTGGATACTCGCGGTCCATCTGATAGTGGGGTAACGCTGGTGGTTTCTCCCTTGATTGCGTTGATGAAGGATCAAGTTGATGCTCTCGTCAAACGAGGTATCAAGGCTGCAACGCTGGATTCTACCAGAACCATTGAAGAGTTCCGTCAAACAAGTGATATGCTCCGGACTGGCCAGTTGAAGTTACTCTACTGCGCCCCAGAACGCCTCAACAACGAGAGCTTTGTTGAGCGAATGAAGAATGTTAGAGGTGGAATCCGACTCCTTGCAGTCGACGAGGCACATTGTATTTCCGAATGGGGCCATGCATTCCGTCCAGATTACCTCAGTAAGTCAAGGCACAAAGTTGGAAAGTTGAGCTAATTTGCTACAGAAATTTCGAGATTTGCTCAAGAGATCAAGGCCGAGAGAGTCATCTGCCTTACTGCGACCGCGACACCTCGAGTAGCCTCAGATATATGCAGAGCTTTTGACATAGATGAAGAGCATGGTCTCTTCCGTACCTCAACTTACCGTCCAAATCTTCGACTTATCGCTGAGTCGGGGGCATCCAAGAAAGAATTGGCCCCAAAACTTACCAAGTACTTGCGCCAAAATCCAGGACCTTCGATCGTCTATGTTACGTTACAAAAACAAACAGAAGAGCTTGCAACTGAACTACGAAGGCAGTATTTTAAAGCAAGGGCATTCCATGCCGGCTTGGAAACTGCAGTCAAAACTCAGTTGCAAGAAGAATTCATGCGCAATGACGATTTAGTGATCGTAGCCACGATAGCCTTTGGCATGGGCATAGATAAAGCCAACATCCGAAATGTGATACACTACAACATCCCCAGCAGTTTGGAGTCATACAGCCAGGAAATTGGCAGAGCTGGAAGAGATGGCAAAATCAGCAATTGTGTATTCTTTGTTTGTGGTGAAGATCTTCACCTACGAGAAATGTTTGCACGGGGAGATCTTCCATCAAAAGATTCTGTGAGAGGCGTTTTGCAGGACATTTTTGATTCTTCAACTGTAAATCTCAAAATTGGTGCTGAATTCCAGCGAAATCAAAGCCAACAATCGAGAGAATTTGATGTTCGCCCGACAACCTTATCCAACATATATGCCCAACTCGAACTCACTCATCAGCTCATCAGAGCAACGACACCAGTCTATACCAAATATCAGTATACTGCTACCGGCCGATATGATTCGCAAGCAAGTTCCGACCAATCATTGGCTGGTAAAGCAGTGTACTCGTTTGGAAAGAAAGCCGCTAAATGGTATCACCTCGACGTAGATGGTGCATCTCGATCTCTTAGAATTCCCAGGACGGATATTGTGAGGAAACTCAATGACTGGCAACAAGAGCGCATCATTGAATTGAAACCAGGTGGCGTGCAGAATGTCTATAGAGTCGCTGACAAACTGCCCAAGACTGCTTCCGAGGTGGAACAAATCACCGAGGCTATCTATAGTCTTATGGTGAAGCGTGAGGAGGAGGCCTTAGGAAGATCCGAGGCTGTTTTGTATCTCGTCACAGATGAGAAGTGCTTTTCTCGCTCATTGGCTCAGCACTTTGGAGATGATCTACCCGACGGTAAAGAGGAGTGTGGTCATTGCAACTGGTGCGAGACACATCAAGGAGTGATGCCACAGATACCCCTAGTTGTCAAGTTCGACGGGAAGAGATTCGGAGCGATCTTACGGCAGGTGCCCGTCAGAGATGATCCGAGACTTTTAGCAAAAATAGTAAGTAGCTCGTGCACTGCAGCTTCTTTTTTACTCAGCTAGGCGGATGCAAGCTGTCGCTTCTTGCTTCTTGCTGTTTACTCAAGCCCTTTGTATTGACATATCGCAGGCATTTGGAATCACGAGCCCTCGTATCACAGCACTTAAGCTCGAGAAAGATCCGATTTTTGGCTCTATGGATGATCACGATTTCCCGGTAAGAGTGTTCCCGCCTTCATCTCCGTTACTGCCTTTCCTTCTTTCATTTCGCATGCTAATACTATTACAGGGGCTGCTTCGCGCTTTCACCGTAGAATGCAACAAAGCCAATAAATTGTGGTGAAAGCCTTTCCGATGGGGTATTTGACGCCTTGAAGCACTCGGAGTTGTGTACAATATTTCTGCGCGGTTCGTGTTTTTGTACATTATGTAGTTGTACTATAACCATCGATGTCTGGAAAATCTTTTTGTGAGATTTCTTACCTCGAACTTGTAAGTTCTATACCAAATCTTGTAACGTGTTCATGTCATCAAACTAACTAACTACATCGGAGACTGAATAGATTTGTGTCTTTTCAAGTCTGGTCGTTGTTGGGGGCTAGATGTCTGATTGGATGAACGCAAGGATTAGGTTGCATGTGTAGGTGCATTTGAAAAACCTCGCTGAATCAAGTCTCGTCAAACAATTTCAGTTTTTGATTGCTGCGGTGAGTTATATGGTTCGGACATGATGCTGAAGCTAAAAGCAGAGTTGCTGTTCCACCTCTATCTTTATCTCTTACTAAATCTTAGCCACAACCACGATATATACCCAAACAAGTCCATGACTAATCCTTCCACTGCGAGCCCGCCTTCGCAACTCTCCAGTACTCTCCACTCATCCAAATCAGCTCTCGTTTCTTCTGCATCAAACACCATATTCTGACCCAAACACCCTTCTCCAACTGCGCACTCAGACCGCACAGGAGACCCCGCCAAAGGAGACGGCTCGTTTGCATTGAGCGCCGTAGGTTTGTATATCACTATCTGTCAAAGTGTAACCAGATGAAATTCCAACGTCTGAAATGTTGGGGTAGAGATACTCGATCATGGCGATAGTCTCGCTATCAGGTCCTCCTTCTGCGATGGCTCAATTACTCTGAAGAGGGTTGCGCATAGGAGACGTCGAGAAATTCACCTTGGGTGTAGGTTAGGTTATACTTCCAACGTGCGAGCCATTCTATATTGTTACAGTTGGGTATGCGAGGATATCTTGATGAAAGATTGGTAATACGAAGACCACCAAAACATTACGCGATGGGGGCAACATTTTGAAGATAGTGGGTAGTGCTTGGTGGGTTAAAGGGAGTCATCCTTGTTGGATCTTCTCATTCTTGCGGTGGGTTCGCGAGATCTACTGTGTTGATGATGGTACGACTACTTAGATGTTGGGGATGGAGCTGATGTCGGCTTTATATCCATTCTTGGGTCTCTGAGATTTCACAAGTAGTGCTTATCCTCGGGTTCTCATGTTTCTGCCGCCCTGTCGTTCTGCGCTCGCTTTTATCATATCACGGAAATCATGCGGATCTCTCTATCAGTTCTGATAAGGTGCGGTTCGGCCAGTAGACGGGATGAGATTACTGGTACTGTACACCGATTAAGTTCTTATTGTCACACGTGGCACCGGTTAGTGCCCGATGCTAACCTAATCAAGCATTCAGCCTGCTGGTGTTCATGGTGGGGTAATGGTAGTGAAATGAGATGATGAGATGATGAGATGATGTTTCATTTCGAACTATTAAACATCGACGATGAATTGACCTTTTCAGGTTTGTATTGTTGTTTTCCTGTTTGGACCTGGAATCCATTGCTTCTGCTAACTTTATTGCTTTTGTATCTTGATTGCGACATAAAATGCCTTCTCAGATATCCTCCTCACATGGGGATAGTCCCCTGTATGAAGCTGTTGATGAGGCAGCCATGCTCAAATCTTCGAGTAACACACTTATTCGATATGGTGGGAGTTTTTCTCCTTCTTTGATCGTCGGAGCGAAGGGGGTCTATATATATACAGCGGATGGGAGGAAGATTTTGGATTTCACGTCGGGACAAATGGTGCGTGTTTTCCAAAACTATTTCGAACGCTCCGGGCAACTTTTCATAATGACATTGCTGACCTTAATATCCCTCACAGTCATGTATGGTCGGTCATGGGCATCCAGAGATCGTGGAAACTATCATTTCACATGCAGCAGGATTGGATCATCTTTTCAGTGGCATGCTCAGTCCACCGGTCATACAATTGGGTGAGATGTTGACAGGTCTTCTTCCTGCCGGCTTGGATAAAGCTGCATTCTTGAGCACGGGAGCAGAGAGTAATGAGGCTGCGATCGAGATGGCGAAGCTTTACACCGGAAAGTATGAGATTGTTGCACTAGGAGCGAGTTGGCATGGGATGACTAGCGCTGCTACGGCTGCCACTTATCATTCTGGGAGAAGAGGATATGGTCCATCTGTAAGTTCCTTTTCGCTCACATACTTGACATACCACGGTACTAATTGAAGCAGTCCGTCGGCAGTTTCGTTCTCCCATGTCCCAATTCCTATCGCTCGATATTCCGCAAGGAAGAAGGCTCCTACGACTGGGAAACTGAACTTAACTACGGCTGGGATCTTATCGATCAGTCATCCAACGGTTCCCTCGCAGCTGTCATCCTGGAACCAATCCTCAGTTCAGGCGGAATGATTGTTCTTCCACCCGGCTATCTCAAAGCGATGAAAGCACACTGCGAGAAACGCGGGATGCTACTCATAGTAGATGAAGCACAAACCGCCATCGGACGCTGCGGTTCCATGTTTGCAATCGAGCACGAAGGTGTCACGCCAGATATCTTGACCTTGAGTAAGACGCTTGGAAATGGACTACCGCTTGCGGCAGTCATCACATCGAAAGAAATTGAGGAGACTTGTTTCGAACGTGGGTTTCTATTCTACACAACGCATGTCAATGATCCCCTCCCGGCAGCTGTCGGTCTCAAAGTTCTTCAGATTGTCGTGAGAGACAATCTCGTAGAACGCTCTAAACACGCGGGTCAGAAGATGAAAGCCAGGTTGGAATATTTGAAAACAAAATATGGATGTATAGGCGATGTCCGAGGACGTGGCCTCATGTGTGGTGTTGAAATTGTGGCGGATAGGATTAAAAAGACTCCGTCTGTCGAATTGGGAGATGCTTTGATGAAGAAGATGATGGAGCTGGGACTTAGTGCTAATTTGAGCACTATGAAGAGCTTTGGGGGTGTTTTTAGAATTGCGCCCCCGATTGCGATTGAGGATAAGGAGTTGGAAGCTGGATTGGATATCTTTGAGGAGGCGTTGAGATGCACAGAGGGCACTATGCCGTTATAAAGTATGACTCGGAAAGTATCGTGGATATTGGAAGGCAGGTAAGCATCGTATCCCACTCTTCATATACTAGAGCCTAGAGGTTACTGATTTCCGGTGTGTGAAGAGTTATGTCCCACTTTTGTACAAGAATTAACTGGATATTTTCCGTTGCAATTACTGTTTAGTGTGGTTCAGCTGTGGTATCCGGATGGTATCGCAACAACCCAATTATCTCGGTCTTATCTCGATGCAGGAACCACATTTTCATGTCTCGAGAATTCCCTTAGGTTGACGATCATGTGGCATATCCAAGATTACTGCTTGTAAACGCTGTGAGAGACTCACAACAAGATGCGCAATCGATGTTTCTGGCGAAGCGTACTCTCTCCCTCACTTCACCCTTTTTCGTTCCCACCCTCCTATTCCCTTAAGTGAATAAAGTGTACCAGCATAGTTGGCTACTAACCAGTCGATAGCTTATTCACCTCTCTTTGCAACAGTGCTTTCGCCGATTCTTCGGCTTCTGAAATCGACCCTGTGAATGGCGGATTATCCTCTTTGGTTCATCCAACAGGTAATGAAATGAACCAAATTGGTGAAACCAAGAAATCCAGGTACTTGCTCTTGAAGCTATTGTTGAAATTAAATCCAGGTATGATCATTGATTTTTTCACGTCTTGGACGACTGTGCACACCAAATTCTTGATCTCACCCCATAGCCCGTCATGCTCTCCTATAGCAACTCAAGAACCATGTTGATATCCCGCGGAATGTTCCGGACTCGGTTCTTGACAGAATTCGGCCTACGGCTTAATTTTGATGGTAATCTTTGTACCAGAGCACGTCTCACTCTAGAAAACTAATGCCATCTTGGATCATGTGCTTGATCACCTCTTCTGTATGGCAAGTCGATCAGATGGGATCAGGTTGGACTGGGAAGTGATTACGATGGAATCGCGAGTGTGATTCCTACGCTAGAAGATGTAAAATGTTATTCGAACTGATGGCGATACTCTATCAAGGTGCAATAGAATAGCTGTTAAGTAGATCTATCGAGGAGAATATTATACGTGTACGGAAGGGTGTCGTCGGCGTGAGAAAATCGAATGAAGGGAACTGGGTACACAGAATCGGATTCCGAATGATATTACAGAACGTGGCATTGGTCTCTAAAGCTGTAGTGATACTTATTATTCTTCTCGATAGAGATTTTGAACACTTCCGACTCGGTGCCTTCATCAGTAGACTGTGTTATTGTTCCCGTGGTTAGCCCCAAAGTTCAACTGCCAGATAGCGATGTGAAAGTCCTCTAAAGTGAAAGAAATATTACATGCAAATCCAAGAATAGAGTTCTCAATTTGCAGAAAGTCACGTTTATATTGGATTATCCAAGTTACCTTTAAGTTTCCTAGCAGAGAGAACACCGCCGATGGTAGGGTATTCTTACAGCTAGCTCTTCACAGTTATTCTGTAGAAGCGAGCCCTTTTAGAAAAGTTTTACTCGACTTCTTCAGCCATGACATGAGGTAATTTTCAGCTCTTTGATAATAGCCTTATCGATCGGCTTTCGTTACTTCTTCGGTACCTTTACACAAGCTATCCCTTTAACACAATATAATTCTTTGGGCCGAGGAAATGACCAGTATTCTTGGGTTCAAAATGATAAACCCATATGACTTTTAAGCTTTCTATTTTCCTTCCCCAGCTCTCTTAACACCACCAGCCACGTTTGCCGCTCCATCCTCAATGCCGTCGGTGACGTATTTGATTCCATCACCAACTGGCTTTCCTGCCTTCCCTGTTACACCAGTGACAGTATCTCCAACACCACGACCTGCTGCTCCAACAACTGTCCCAGCCGTATCTACGACACCACCAACTCCATTCCTAAGAAATATTAGAAATAATACCACTTGGGGCCTGTAGTAGTAACTCACCCAACTGTCGATGTGACCCAGGTCACACCCGAGGATACTCCGCTTTTGTTGGTGCTGTTCATTTTCGCTTTGGGAACGAGAATGGTGTAGTGGTTTTTGCTTGTTTTTGGGCCTTATTGTACGAGTAGGTAGGGAAATGTATTGTCACTTTCGGAAGCTCTCTGATAACCTACTTCAAGACTTATAAATATGGCAAGAGTATGAGGAGGCGTTCTGACGTCACAGGCTGTGCATTCAGGGGTTTTGAGAAAGTCGTCATCTGTAAGACAAGTTCAACCAATCAAAATATCCTGGAGATCCTTTGGAAATCCCACGGGTTTTTACCAGTAATGTACCTGAGTAGGAATGGCGGGCTCCAGTTGCCTCAAGGGTGGCTTTATCACGTGACTCGAACAACTCACCTAGAGCTTCCCTACCGGGCCATGGGCCGAGCAGTACCGCACTAGATTTTGTGCCGTTTGGAAAGAAGACGTGGGGCCAAATGAGGCGCATTAGCTACCTACCTACAAGTATAGGTACGGTAACACCTCAGACTTCCCTTTACTTAGCCACCTCGTCCATCACCATCACTATTTGAACGTCTTTTATATTACCGTCATGTGAAAATTACATCAAATCTTTATCACTTTATAATCTCCTTCTTTAAATTTATACTCGTACACCGCTTGTAGATGGTTGCTTGGCGGGTGACCCCCGCTTCCTCTTTCCTCCCATTCTCCGTGCTATCCGTTTCTATACTGCTTGGTGATTTTGCCCGGGGTTTTAAGAAATTTCCCTGCGATCAGTCTCCACTAATAAATCCCATCACACCATCCATTTTTAGTTGGTCTCTATGGAGCAAATGATACTGACCCCTTTTGTTGTCCCCGTTGTTGGAAAAGGGACACAAAAGTTTTCCAGGAGGCCAAACTTTAAATCCAAAGGCGGCTGTTCAAAGTGCAAGTTTGTTTGTCTCAGCCAATCAACTAAATCTCTACTGATTCTTCATTACATAGAGCCCGACATTTAAAATGTGATGAAACAAGACCATTTTGCAAAAGGTGTACCGTGGCTTCCTATGTTTGTCCCGGTTACTCTACCACTTCAGCCAGTTCTACGGACCGAGCCCTAGTATTGTCGAAAGGAACGACACATAAATCTCACAACTCCGCAGTAGGTTCTAAGGCTATTCCTCGAGCTCCGAATACCGTCCCTGGGTCCGCCCAGGACACAAAACAGCTCCAAATCGTGCATCTAAAAGCCCTTCAATCGATGGCAAGCCCAGTTGAACAGCGGAACTGGGAAATTTTCTATCTACGGTTTTCCTACTCCGAGCCCGTTGTTTGGCATTCCTTGCTTTCAATTGCAAGCCTGATGGAGGGGTATACACTACGAGCTCATCCTAAAGCTGCCGTTGCCCATCAGCTCGCTCTATGGCATTACAACAAGGCTGTTGGTTTCCTCATCCCGCAGAAGTCCGCGGAAATGGTGAAAATAGAGGTTCTATTGTCGTGCTGCTATCTGTTTTATGCCTTGGAGACCAATCTCCAAAATACCGATGAGGCTTTTAATCACTTGTATGGCGGCTATCAGATTATACGCGTTTGGAGGGCCAACCACAAAAATCCGATTTCTTTAGTCGAAACTGTTTTCTGCCCGCTCTTTTATACGCAAACTTTCAGCTGGCTATCGAATTGGTTTACATACTTCAAAGAGCTACGAGTGAAGGTTGATATGAACGATCTCCATCCTCTCCCGAGGGGAGGTTTTACGGGCTTGTCCGATGCCAGTGTTGAGTTGTTTCAAATAACATGCTATGGGCTTGGCTGTGCACGCTCTTTCGAAACTTACAAAGTGACTCATGATATTCAAGAAGACGACGAAGCTGCAAGGCTGCAGCGCGAGTATTTCCGGAGCAGACTTGAACACTGGTTAGAGGCTTTTGAAAGACTCTACCCACAAGGTTGTCCGGATACAGCCAAAGCACTAGAAATCAAATACCTGAAATTAATACGGAGGATCGTCTATCTATGCCTACCTGGAAGGTTCAATGTCGTGGGGATCCACTACGATGCTTATGCGAATGGATTTGCAAGCATTGTTGATGAGATGACTTTCATCTACGACACAGCAGCTAAGGAATTTGAAAAATATCAGAAAACCAACTCGACATCGTATTATTTCCGAGAGAATATATTCCTGCACGTCTATATGATTTCCATTAAATGTCGAAACCCTTCTGTTCGAAGAAAAGCACTTTCTTTGCTTGAGAAGGTTGCTTCGCCCCAATCGATCTGGAATAACCTTTTGTCGATCGCAATGATTGAGAGATTAATTCAGGTCGAAGAAGAGGGGTTGGAGGGTGTTGTTGACGCGACGGGGTCAACTGTTCCATCGGAATGGGCAAGAATACATGATATCACCCGCGTGCCAGAAGATGTTCCTCACCCAGATGGTTTCTTGTTTAGAATGCGACAGAAAATCAATGGGGAGTGGTGTATTCGAGATGAGAGGATTTCTCTGAACGTTGTCCAGGGTACGACGGTTACTAACAATGACAAGAGATAGTGGAATTGAAAGACAGTCGGGAGGATACCGGAATATTGGAAAAAGAAAAGTTAGCTTAAATAAGAATGTGAGCACCGTCTTCAAGTTCTATATTGCTCGGAATTTTCAAGGAATAGATAGCCTGAAATAATGTACTTGAATCTTCCTAGAAGAATCAAAACTGCAGGTTTGATTGTTATAAGCGGATGGGTTGAGCGAGTGACACTATAGAAGATTTAGTATAGTGACAAAGCCCTTGATTATGGACGCGAGCTTTATTTTGTTCCAGTGGTGTTTATTGAGCCACACCTACAGCCTGATATTTTACTCTCTCCAAAATCACTACAGCTACAGGACGAGGACAGAATAGATACTCTCAGTTGCTACATCAGCTTATTCTTCTAATTCGCCGCATTAAGAATAGAATAGGCAGCATATATCATTGCTTTTCATTCTTATTATATAGATATGAACAAAAGCTTTAGTAAAGTTACGACTTGGATATATAGTGCAGTACTACTGTACAAGTAGTCAAACCTTCCATATGAAACGGACTATATTTGAAAGAAAAGCTCAATATAAGTGAACAAATTTAGGATCACTATTAGATTTGATTTGGACTATAACAGCTCTTGTGAAGCTGTCTGATGAACCCATAAACATTTAGCGAGAACTTAAGTAAGTCTGCCACAACACTCTTGACACAAAGAGTGCCCCAAATAATTAGGTGCTTTCATGACCTTAATCTGAGAAGTCTTGCGCCAAACAAAGATTATTGCGCATATTCTAGAATAACAGCGAAGGATCATTCAGCATTTGCCCTTTATTAAAGGAAAGGATTGATTTTTCAATGGTTCTATAACAAACAAGATTTAGTTTATCTTCTCATTCTCTTTATAAGGTGTGCCAAAACAGAGGGCTAATGCGAATTATTCTCAACATGTAAGTACCTTTGCCTAGATTCTTATAGCGTCTAAGGAGGTCCGCTCTAAATCAAAACCTTATTCCTCCTGGAAGCTAATAATTTGGTACCTTCTGATTTACGTTATATAGGTATATTAAGTTAAAAAGAACATCTTTATTTATTAGTATAGGTAGATATTGTACTCTTCTAGACACACCTTTTTTAGTACTTGATTTGGACTAAACTTGGGCTTATAACCTGTTAACAGGACTATATGTAGAGTGCTAATAGTGCTAGAATGAAAAGGGTTGAATTCAGAAAAAAAGGTAACGATCTAACTATACGTGGTAGGAGCCCAGCTCTATTTCTCTTCTGAAATACTGTGGAGTACGATAGTAATAATAGAACTAGCTTCCATGCGGTGAAAGTCTTGGAAGAGGTCCAGGCAGGTAGATCACGTGATTCACCCTCCTAACAACAAAAATAGTACATTTCTAAAAAGGTACTACTTTATACACTTTTAATTTACTACTTTATATTAGCTAGCGAAATCAGGAGAGACAAAGGGGAGGAAATGTTAAGATGAAGAGATCTTCTAAAAGAGTTTGCATTTCTTATTAACCTTTTATCTCATTTTCTTTAGGTGATTATCCTAAGATTTGGTGTAAAAAGTGTAAATGGATTAGATTTATTCGTTAGTATTATATTTAGTCGTATTATTGTCTTATGTCCCATTGCGTCCAGGTTTGAAGTTAATTCTTCTTATGCGGAAAGGATAGAAGTCGGGAGGCTGGAAAGGCTGGGACGAATCGATATGTTAAGGGCGTGGGGGTATTTTCCTTGGCTTCTTTTGAACTTTCGCTTCCGCAGCTCTGGTTTCCACACCTAACACTTTCGGGTTGTCTATACGGACTTCCCTGGAAGAACCATCATATTCAATAACGTATGTCTGTTTCCTTCAGAGGAACTAGCATCTTTTCTGTTCCTCAATTTCAGAAATCTGGTGATTCCGTAAAATCTGACAGGGTCACGATGACCGGTAGTTAAATTCTACAGCTTTCGGAACTACAAACACGGTCGCAGGGCTTCAGTTGTGAATGTATTCCTCAGGAATCTGGTCACCCGTAGGATAATTAGTAGCTATTTCCATCTTTACATCAAGATATACGCTCTGCACATACGACTGTGCCTACACTCATTTAAACCATACCTCTTTACTACTGAATGTGGAGGATCTACGACATATACACATGAAAAAATATTCAATATACCATTCACCAATTTCGGATAAGTCTTATGTATTCCAGCGTCGGTATATTATTGCCTTCTAGCAACAGCCAAGTTTGATACAACATGATCGCTCTTAACAAGCAGCGTTGGCGGAGAGGTATGATGTGGGAGTCATGGATCAGATTACTCAATGTGCGAACATTCCCAGGCACCCTTAGGCATCCTACAGCTGGATATCCTGATCAGGCAGGTCAGAATCAATACAATCCTCTGTGCCTAATGAGGGTGTTCCTGGTAATCTTGGCAGGCGCATGTATACTTCCGGTTGCGTGTTGCGCCCAACTAAGAGCGCGGGTTAATTCCTACATCAATTACAACAACCCGAGCGTTTATTTGCACCAGCGGACCGTACATAGATCTGATGGGCACACATAATGGTGGACAATTTTCAGACAAGGTTACAGGTACATACTCGTATTAACCCCTCGGATGCTGTAAGACTCTACCCTGCTGAGTACGCCTGAACGACAACCAAGCTCAAGATTTGTCCAGCCAGGACGAAGACGGCACGTAAGACCTATTCACGTGGCTGCCATGCCAAGAAAGACAAGCCTCTTTGCGGCGTTGACAATATGCATAGGCGAGATAGGATCAAGGCACCATACAAGTCGGAGTAATATTTCAGGCAGGCCAAGAACTAACCAAAGCTCCATCGAGATGAAAGAATGTTGATTTTCATGATGTCTTCCACAATACTTTCTAGAAGGTCCGGAAGAAGAAATCTATAGAATTTCGGCATTAGGCCAAGATTTAAATACCGACTAATAAGGCAATGTGCAACGAAACTATTGTTCTAAGCCTGATGGTCCATGAAGCGGCTCGTACTGTATAAGCTGTAATACTGTGGCTGTTCAAAACTAGAGTTATAGAGTTGTGTACACCAATCTAGCCCTCGTGTAAAACAGCCGACGCAAGCGAGAGCTCTCAAAGATTCGGTGAGCTTTTCGAGCCTCCCTCTAAGCTCTACAGGGATGAGTGAGACATACAATTGATGAAAAAAGCAACAAACATAAAAGATTATGCGTATCTATATGAATACCATAACCTTGTGCCTTCTCACTAGGATCGCGGCTGATTCTGGTTTCGCCCGAAAGAGTATACGACGAGGATTCACAAAGACCTCACATGTTCCTATGTGGATAACAAGATCGAACGGACGCTCGTCATTTTCCACCAAGAATAGATGCTTCAGTCACTTGCATTGGACCGGATATTGATTGTTGGCGCAGCGGCATCACAGTTCTGTTAATACCACCGCAGTTGAGGAATATTGATAGTCAGACAGACATCAAGGCATATGCTTGCCGGCACTTTTACAGTAAGCTTGGTCTACGATTCTACTAAATGTTCTTCACCGAATCGGATTCATACGGTAAGAGCAATACCCACTCTTTTCCTTTCGTCAAATGGACTCCCTCAGAGTATCTCACTTCGTGGCTTCCATTAAGGTTGTATAAAGTACTTCCATTAAAGTCCTATTTCTTGAGGAGCGTTCAACGTTGATTAGGACCGGCTTTCTGAGCTTCTGTATAAAAATACTCTCGCAAAATGTCTTTCTTAATTTTCAAGATCAAACTTCTCTCAATATGTTTCTTATTGTTTCAATTCTCGAATGGTCAGTTTGGAAACGTTGCTCCACCATATGGCCCAAGTCAGTTCAGCAATATTGGAATGATAAATGCGTAGGATTTCTCTCCATATAAACGAACCAACTCTAACATCTTGTTAGTATTACTGTTGCCAATCAATCAGATCTTCTGTCGGGGGGTAGCATAACCATTGATGGTATTCCCATGGTAGTGCCCAGAAATTCATATGTTACACTACCTTCGATTTCAGTGCTGTGGTCGGAACTCTTCATCAATGGGTCTCCACAGCTTCCGCAGTTTGGGGCACCTGGAATAACTTGGGAAGCAACTGTGATTGGTAACCGTGTGGGAGATACTTACGTTGTCGGACTTATCTACCTCGCCCAGTCCTCGGTTCGTATTGTTCAAGGCTTCGTCAATGCTATTGATCTTAAAACGGGTGAGTTCTGGGTTTCTGGTAACTCAGCTGTTGCCGGCTCTGGTACAAAAGCACGTCTCAACGATCCTGTCGGTAAGTTCGTCAATATTTCGGTTTCCCCGACAAGCCAACTGAAAAAACATGTAATAAAATGCTGATTCTAGTGGAAGGTCGATACGGAATCCCATATTCAGACCACCCACTGTGGACTGTAGACGCCGAAAGTCCGTCTGTTATCGCTGCCACTGGATATCCTCTCTGTATTCCCAGATACTCTAATGGCACAGACGATCCATTATGCCCTCTCAAGAACAGAGTCATTAATGGACAGGTTCCAACGTTTATGTAAGCGAAAAAAGGAAGAAAAGAAAATAGGGACCTCGCTAACAAATGAAGTCAATTCAAAGGTGCTCTAGCTCGCACTGCTACCGATCCTGATCCAAACTTGATGGCTCCAATCATGGTCGGCGATTATATAACCATCAACGGAGTTCAGGTTGGGGGTGGTATTTTTGCAGTATATTCTCTTCTAGCCAGTTTGGCATTATACACAGCCCCCCGTGAACTACGTAGGTATCAATACACTCTTCACAAAGACGGTCCCTAATTGATCTTTTAGCTGCCTATATCCGTGTAGAAGAAGCCAGACTTGGTGTCCCGGCTCCTAACAATGCTGAGCAGGGGGAGACACGTGCTATAGCATTCACAACAGACCCTTCTACGCCAATGCAATGGTACGCAATTGACGTGGACCCATGTACAGGAGCAGAAAAGGAGCGCAATCTTCAACTCACGCAGCCCTTGGGTCAAAACGCTGGTGACGTGTGGGGGAAAGCCATCTTTCGTCTCGGAAAAGTGAACGCATCACCTGTAAGTAGATTCTGTTGCAACTCTTTACTCTTATTGCGTTTTCGAAAAGACGTTCATAAGACAAAGCTGACTTGATTACATTCAAGATGACCAAGAATGTCGGATTCAAGCTGCTTACTGGAACTACCATGACAGGAAATGGGCTCGAAGCCGGAGTATTCATTCAACCGGTTTTTACCTTTATTATGCCTGAGTTGGTGGTTCTTGGTGACCCTATGTTTCCATTTGGTGAGTGCGATTTTCTTCAAAACAGTTCAATCCTTGACAGCCTGACCGGGTATCATCGTGAAAAATGAATGCTGATTTCCATCGACCTTAGAATTCCAGGACTTTCCATTTCTCGCGCTTGGGTCGGGTCCTTTTATTGAAGCTCTTCCGGGTGCGGAATTGGATGCACCCGTTGTTTTGGTCGGACAGCTCGATCCTTATCCTGGACTGCGAACTCCATTGACAACACCCTGTGTAGCTGTGACACCGACTCCTACATCTTCTGGTCCCACGACGTTGAGCACCATTTCATCGGCAACTCCTGTTCTTGGGGCCGATATTGTGACTTTTACTTTTACTGAAAACCGCGGTCAAGGTGTTACCACCTACACAATTCAAGCGGTGAGCTCCCATATAACGAATCCTCTACCCACTCTTATAGTGACTGGATCTGGAATAAACCCGTTGGGACAGAGTCCCATGACTTCGACTGGTAACGGCAATTACATTCTTCAAGTAACATTGAAGCGACGCTTGGACACCATCACAGTTACATCGAGTCACGGAGGGCAGAGTAGTGTGCAGACCTAAGAAGAGGTAGTGGATAAAGCAGGATTGATGTTAATCTTAGTTGTAAAGGTGGTAATGACAAGCGTGGTACACTGTCCGTAATCGTAGACAGTCAGAAGATTCATTTATATACGCAGCCATGTTCGTGCATCAGCGTCCTCATTTAATTGCCTCGCACGAGTAGTTAATAGTGACAGCAGTGACGGCGTCTTTGATGAACTCTTTTATATTATTGGCTATAAACATGCAAAGGCGCCAGGACTAATGTTTTCTTGCTTTTAAACCAGCAGTGGGTAAGGGAGAGGGTTTCAGATAATTAGAAAGATCTCCACACGAAAATACACAGCTGTTTGGGCAAATTGAGCCAACATCTATGCTGCCTGGAACATCTTGTCTTGGAGTATTTGGAGAAGGTGGCATTATAAGGGCTCCTGAGTTTCTTTCACTGACCACAGCTTTAGCGCCTATTTCACTTGAATCCAGCAATGTGCTCACAACTTCGCCCAATGTGATATTCGCGACTTCTGCAAAAGAATACCTAGTTGGAAACAAGTATGTTTGGTAGAGATCTGAAATGTAACTCTCATTCTATTTTTTTACAAAAGAAAAATTAAGAATTCATGTATAAGTTACACAAAAGTCGTAAATCCTTATGACTAATCCCACCAATATTTGGAGATTACGGGAAGGTAATGACAGGCAAAGGGAGAGCATCGGTACCTGTGAGGAGAATTAGCAATCAGAAATCTAGAAGCAATCGACTTAGTTAACTCACATTCGGTCAAGTTGTGGATGTTATTAACTCCTGTTAAACTCAAGCGTATATACGCTCTTGAGAAGTGTTCTACCCAGTCATTTTGACGAACAGCATAGCCGTTCCATTCCTCTTGTAAGGGCCCATGTAAACTCAGTGCTTTGTCAGATGGAAATGTCAGTACCCCGTGTCCAGCATTAAAGTCAGACCGGATAGTATCCTCATAGAACTTGGTATCCCACACCCCTGGTGTGGAGTCTTGATTCTCACCCGCCCGGGTACTATTGAATGTAAATTGGCGGCTCACGCTATGAGCACCAACCAGCGCCACAAGATCCAAAGGTCCAATGTTTTTGTCAAAGAAAAGATCCAGAAGGGTCTGCGCATCTGATGTAGCACTTGGCAATAACCCGTCCGGTGAAGGCTTGGTCGCATCCTTGCGGCCCACAAAAGTTCGCATTCTTGGCCCTAATGGGCAAGTCACAGTTGCATGAGCGGCGGCGAATTGTATCATGTCAGCGACCTCAACCGCGGAATCTTTTGCAAGCTGGCCCAATCTATTGACAATACCCTGGAGACCATTGTTTTCGGCACGAGTAGTTTCGCCAAACAAATAAATGGACCCATCGGCACCACCAAAGTCTTGTCCAGTTGAGGCTAAGGTTTTTGACCATGTTCCAGCATCATGAAATCCTGCTCTGATAGCAGCTCTGGCGTCATTGGTGCATTCCTTGGTTGTGGTGTTTTGAAACAATTCTGTGAGCTTGACAGAGATACCGGCCCTGTTTTTTGTTAGAAAAAGTCTGTCTTTTAATGTGGGCATTGAAATACCATCTCGAGCATGGATGGTTCGCATCATTGAGATCAACTATATCACTGGGGCTGCCTTGGGCACTGACATTGAGCTCCAAGATTTGAGCAATCGTTCTTCCCACATCGGTGGAAAATTGGAGACTCGCTAAATCTCCAGGCAAAGGGACGCCATCGACCATGCCAGTATTATAGTCAATCAGAATTGTTTCTGCCAACACAAAAGAAGTATTCCAGAGAACTAGGAATGGGGAAATTGAAGGTCTCATTTTGCTAGAAGGTTAACAGGAAGTCGATATTTTTGACCTTATTTCAAGCATGTTATCTAGAGCATATTTATAGTGTTAGATAACTGCTAATTTCTAGAACTGAGATTTTCCATTAACACAGGGATAAAATGGTGAGAAACTGACTAAGAAGCTGCATATGAATTTCAGTTTCAGCTGACCCGAATAATTTGACCCAAAAGGATCTCATAGGATTCATTGCCTTGCCTCATTACTACACGCGGCTGAAAGGATGCCCGTTTTTCTTCCATCTCCCGGCCTGGACGCAGTAGCAGCTAATATTGGCTGCTGTCTGTATTATTAGATATCGAATTGAACTACATATGCAGTAATGCTTAAAACTGTTACTGCATATATCCTGGTTATCTCTACGAGCCACGCCTCATATATACATAATTTAGCGAAGCTTCCTTTTACACATGGGTGTATACTCAAATATACTTCGCTTACGAGAAAAACATATTCGCTACCGTGATAAATCGTCCCTACCGCATCTAGATAGGTAGGACGACATTAGATAATACTAACGGTTGTTCCGAGACTCTAAGTGGCCAGAAGTAAGCGGCGAAGGCCTTCTTCTTATACGTAAAGCTCGTTGGTCTAACTTTCCTACCCTACGGACCCGTAGAAAGCCGATATCTGAGTAGCCTAAAATATAATATTACTATTATTCGTCTTACGCCGCTAGGCGTAAAGCCTACCCTAACGGTACTTCTACTTGTTATAACTCGTATAGTATAAAATATAAGGAAAAGTATAAATACTATAAATATTCTTAGGCTCTATAAAAGCCTGAAAAAACACTACCTCTATACCCTCTATATACTCTATTCCTTTACCTTAACTTAATATAGGCCCCCTAATATAACGTCTAAGTCTCTACTACTCGCGTATTAGCCTCTAAGGTACTTACGTACGCTTATAGCTAAATTAGAGTACCTAGTTCTAATAACCGAGCCTAATATTACCTCCCTTTACGTTTATATTAAAATTACGTAATCCGTCCTACTATATTAAGTCTACTTTGTTAAAGACTCTTTATTGGCTAGATATATATAAACTAGCTATATTTATAGTAGAATAATTAAGTACTTAACTAGCTTCTTATTTACTATACTTTATTAGGTTATAAGCCCGGCTTACTACTATATATATAACTAATTTAATCCCTTTATTTAGAACCAAAAGTAGAAGCGATACTACTTGTATATCTATTATTTTTAGAAAAAATACTATTTCTAGTATAGAATTAGACTATATATAGTTATAATTTTTCTAGTATAAAGACTACTTCTAACCGGATCTATGCTATATATTCTTAGCGCTTACGAACGTATATCTATACATATCTTTAACCTTTATACTAAAGCTAACTCTATTAAAGCTATAAATATTCTAAATTCTAGATGTGAATATCTTTATCGAATATATATCTAGCTTTTCTAGTACTATCTAAAAGTACTATTTTCTATATATTTTCAAGATAATTCTACCTACTTTTACTCACTTCTACTATATTAAAAGCTAAATATATTAATATTAAAAACGTAGATTTAATCTATAAGCTTAAGAATAAATCGAACTTTTTTAAAATAGAATAAGGACCTATATAAAACGCTTTATAGGTAAAATATAAAATAGTACATAACGCCTATACTCTTACTATAATAAACTAATTTAAGTACTATCTAGAAGGCTAAAAAGAATGCTATAATAGGTTTTATTATTAAAATAATATCTATAGGAATTTATAATAATCATCTTACTTACTTTAGTAAACCTTTACTAGCTTCCTAGGTTATATTAGCGTACCTCGAAAATAATTATAAGGAAGTTAGTAGCGAATATTTCTCTTACTTATATAATGAATACTACGATTTAACCTTTATAAAATATAATAATATTATAGATCTTATATAATAACTATAAAAACTTAAGAACTAATTAACAAGTATCTATTCTATTACTATTTATAAGCCTCTCTATATATAACGATTTATTAAAGGACTTAGAATATTATATAGCCTTTAGCTCTCGAATTATGAATTTACTTATAATCTCTCCTTAGTAGACTTTAAAGATATAGTATAAAGTACTTTAGTATATACTCTTAGTACTCTTTCTACTAAATCTGTTTTACTAAGTACCTTTATTTTAACTTATCCTAGAATAATAATGAAACTAATAAATAATCTTAACTAGGTATAAGTTATATATATAAAATATATTATAACTATCTTGTAACAATAAAATAATATAGTAGAAAGACTAGTTCGAACTATTATAAATGAGGCCTTACTAATATTATTAGATAGTACTCTTTAATAAATAATATTAGACTAAAGCTATATAAATAACGAATTACCTTACTTAAAAAGACTTCCTATAAAGTATAAACTAGTATAAAACCTAACCTTAAATACCTAGTACTATTCGAAATAACTTACTTATTTTAGAAAGGCTCTTAATATAAGATATTAAAACTTAAAAGTAAAGCTAAGCAAGGTATTATAGTAGGCTATAAGGGAGATTATATATACTAAATCCTTTACAAAAGCTATGTTATTTACTATACTAACGTTTAGTTCTTACTTAAAAAGTATACTCTACTTATATCTAGGAGTAATTTAAAAGAATTATAAGAATTATACCCTATGAATTCTCTCTAAGATACTAAACTTATAGTAGAAACTATACTAATTAAGCGAGATATAATTAATATATCTAAAGACTTAGATTCTAAAGGAACTAATAAAAGCTTTAATAAGACCCTTAATAATATAGAGTTAATAAATATAAAAGTTTCTTAGCTACTACATAATTTATATAGTAACTATAAAACTCGAATATATAATTTCTCCTAATATAAAAGAGGGGTATTTAAAGATAAGCTAAACTCCTAGGCTTTACTTTTAGACGTAAATATATAGGAGCCTAAGGAACTATTAACTTATAAAGATACTATATTCTTCCCCGAATTAAGTTATTAAATAAAGGTAATAAAGAATAAATTCGACTTACTTATTACTAATAATACCTAGGAGTTATTCTTAGTACTACTAAATTAAAAGGCTTTTAGAGGATAATAAATATATAAAATTAAGTAAGACTTATTAAAAAGAATTATATAATATAAAGCTTACTAGGTAGTATAAGGTTTTACTTAATAAGAAGGAATTAATTTTAATAAAACTTTTACGTTAGTTATAAAGTCTATAATATATAAGACTCTCTTTACTCTAGTAGCTTCGGAAACCTGTGACGACACGTACGAGATGTTGCTCAGAGAGCGTCCAAGGTGTAGGTTATGGAATCGTAGAACTGTCTATTCGAAGATTCTAAGCTAAAGAGAGAAGAGAAGAAAGGACAGAAGTCCAGGAGCTGGAAGCTCTTATATACAGGAGGGGTACCAAGGGTTATAGCTAACCGAGCCGGGCTCGGGAAGCACGGCGGCCGACGGGTGCCAGCCAGGGGCTGGTTTGAGGCATGGTGGCGGTGAGAACCGTCACAAAACCCTTAAAATTAAATAAATAAATATAAAAACCACCTTTTTATATAGTAAGATTAATAAAGAAATATATATAAAATAATCTACTAGTTTCGAATTAAATAATACCTAGGTATATAAGTGTAACGAATACTCAAATTGGCTAACTAAACTTGGCTGGGTGTTCGCTGGTTGGTATGCTATGATAAAAAGAAGACTATCGGGTTGTTCACTTGGAAGTGAACTCGTTACTTGTATCAAAGATGTCAAACTAATATGATAAGATTGATAACTAAGTTGAGCACGAAGCTCCTATCTAATGGCAGACGTGCCAGTCTTATATAGAACCTTCGTTCTCCCTAGGCCGTCAACTCGCCTGTCGAGCTGGCGGTCCAGATAGCCAGATCGCTAGGCGACCTGGCGGTCCAGTCTTAGTCACGTGATTACATACAAGAGAAATCCCTGGATCGCTTAGCTCTAATGGCAGACGTGCCAGTCTTATATAGAACCTTCGTTCTCCCTAGGCCGTCAACTCGCCTGTCGAGCTGGCGGTCCAGATAGCCAGATCGCTAGGCGACCTGGCGGTCCAGTCTTAGTCACGTGATTACATACAAGAGAAATCCCTGGATCGCTTAGCTATCCCAAACGATCCCTATTTGCTACAAGAAACCTGGATGTGCCTGTCGAGGGTTGCGCCTCTTATTATGACAAGTATCACGTGAGCACGTGATTCGTGACAATAAGCTAGTTAAGGTATTATATAAACTAAAATAATCTTTAAGAATTTAGTATAAAATGCTTATAAATAAACTATAGAAGCTTAAATTTAAAGTATTTATTTTAAACTAGTATATTTAAAAATAACTAAACGTTTCTTATAATATATATAAATAATATCTTACTAATTAAACCTAATAAAAGATATATATCTATAATAAAAACTTCGCTTATATAATACTTTACTATAATAGATATAAGACTTATACTATATTACCTAGGAATTCGAATAACTCGAGACTAGAAAACCCGAATTATTTATATAGATTAAAGAATATGTATTAAGTAACTCCTAGATTAATTTAGTATATAAAGCTATAATCTATTCGTTTTACTAATAGATCTAAATTATTAACTTAAGCTAGCTTCCCCTAGAGTAGACGTAGTACTAGAAGTAATTATAAAGTACTAGTAAAAATTAGTAGCGTTATATATATAATGCTAGGGACTTATTCTAATATAGTATATCATATATTAGTACTAAGCCGCTACTTCTACTAACTAATAATAATATACGAATAAGTACTTAAAAATTATTCTAATACCTTAAAGGAATACTTAACCTTATACTTGTAT